GAGCGTGAACCAGCTCTAGAGAAAATACTCAAGAACATTCTCGATAGAGACAATGAATTGGACGCAGACAACAACACAGAGGAACCTAGTGAGGCCATTGGTAGACAGTAACAAAGAACACTGGGAAAAGAAAAACAAATGGTGCATCAACAGACAAAGAAGGCGATGATGTAAATATCCAAGACATCTCAGTGATAGCTCTCAATATTAATGGCTTCAATTCTCCAATCAAAAGACACAGACTGGCAGACTGGATCAAAAAGTACAATCCAACAATCTGTTGCATTCAAGAAACTCATCTAATTCAAAAGAGATATTCACAGACTAAAAATTAAAGAATAGAAAACAACATTTATTACACCAGCACCCCCGAAACAAATCCATAGACTGGAAATACATTTTTGCTAGCTACTCCTCAGGCAGAGGATTAATATCTAGAATACACAAAAAACTCAAAAAATTAAAGCACCTAAAATTAAAGATGCAGTTAAGAAATGGTCAAGAGAAATAAACAGACTCTTCACGGAGGAAGAGATGAAAATGGTGCACAAATATATGAAAAAATGCTCAACAACACTGGCCACTCAAGAAATGTAAATTACAACAACACTAAGATTCCATCTTAATCCAGAAATGACAATCATTAAGAAATCAAACAATAACCAATGCTGGCAAAGACGTGGTGGGAAAGGAACCCTCCTTCATTGTTTGTGGGAATGTAAACTAGTACCACCATTATGGAGATTTCTCAAAGAATGAAATTAGAAATTCCATCTGATCAGTAATCCCTCTGCTAGGCATCTTCCCCAAAGAGCTTAAGACATCATACTACATGATACCTGCACACCAATGTTTACAGCAGCACACTGTGTAATAGCTGAATCCTGGAAGCAGCCTGTGTACCCATCAACAGATGACTGGATTAAGAAAATGCGGTATCTGCATGTAATGGAGTACTACTCTGCTATGAAGAATGACAGATTTGAGACATTTGTAGGAAAATGGATGTGCCTGGAAAATGTAATGTTTGGTAAAATAAACCAGATACACAAGCTTAAATGCCCTATATTAGCTTTCATTTGAGTGTGGCAAAGCACAAAGAAAGAGAATAATAAGGATGCATAGAAGGGGACAGGGGACAGACCTCTTGCAACAGGGAAGTGGTCCAAGGGAAAAAGCAGGAGGGATGAGGAGGAGGGGAAGAGAAAATAAGTAGAATAAAGATGTGCCATGTGCAGGAACCTAGTAACCTCAATTAATGTAAACACAGCGTGCCATAACATGAGCTAAGACTAAAAATATCAACAAGAATGAAAAATGGGGTAGGGGAATTGGAGAAGGAAGGAGGGAGGGAAAGGGATTTTTTAAAAAAAGTGGTGGTGAGTACATGTAACCACTCCCCAAGATGAGTGTAAACTGCATGAACTGCAAATGTGCGCTAATAGAATTAAAACCCACACAGAAAAGAGGCAGGGTCTATTCTGGCTCGGTCTCAGAGGTCTCCGTGCAGTCATCTGGCTTAGTCACCTTGGTCTACGGCAAAGCAGAAAGTCAGGGAGTGTGGGAAGGTGTGGTGGGCCAGCTGGTCACCTTATGACAACTGGGAAGAAGTGGAGGGAGGGGCACCAGGGGTCCCCACGTCACCTTCAAAAGCACACCCATGACCTTTCTCCCACTAGGCACCTCCTCCTAGAGCACCCAGTGCAGCCCAAGCTACTGACCCGGCCTTTAGCACACGGGCCTTTGGCAGACGTCTAAGACACAAACCACAGCAAGGGGCTTCTGCAAAGTGAGGCACAGAGCCAGGCAGGAGTTACCCAGCTGGTCCCTGAGGAACCAGAAGTAATCCTCGGAAGGCTCCAGGATGCATTTGTGAGGCCGAGGCGTGGAAAAAAATTTTTTGTTTCAATTTGAAGTGAACTTTATTTTGAGGAAAAACATGTTAAGACAACTCATAATCAAATCGGAGATGACCATGGCTTGGAATGGGACATATTTCTTTTCTTTGCTGCCCACCCAACTGCTCTGTGTGCAGAAAAATGTTTTTCTATGTCTCTGCGTCCAGGGGATTCCTAAGCACTTGAATGTTTGGAGACCACTAATAAAATTCCTGGGAAGACAAAGCCTTTCTCCTGACTCTTCTATGCCTAACCTCCCCAGAAGCCCTACAGACATTTCGGTCTGTTACTGTCCATGGCGACATCAGAATCAAGGGGAGACTCAGAAATAAGCCTATTTGGAACAAAACGTGTTTGTAGCAGCACTGAGGAGACAATGACCATCCAGTGAGGTGTTCTGAGAAATACAGACCAAAGGCCGTTGGATCACCCAGGCGAGCTTTCCTTTCTGTGCCTCAGGGACCGGGGTGTATTTGTACTTTCCAGTGAACTTGGCACTTTTAAAGTTGGTGTTTCACTCTCAAGCCGTGAATTCTCATCGGACATCTTGTAAAACAGCCCTGTGAGCGATACATTATTTCACCCAAAGGTTCTTATGGAATCTATATCCTTCACTTATTATCAATATTGCTGCATTCAGAGCTCCAATCGATCCAATCTGGCAGGCATTTTATCCCAAAACTATCATATGAAACAATTTCCCCTTCAAGACATTTCACTATATTGCTGTGAAAGAGAGACCTATTTAGAGGAAAATCAAAATCAAGAGAGGATCAGAAATAAGTTTACTGGGAGCAAAGTGTTTTTATAGTGAGACTGGGAAGATAATGCCAACCGTTCACTCCTGGATTGAAGGAAGGCAGACTAAACATTTTCGAATAGTGTGAGTAACCAAATCAACTTTTACCTTTTAAGATTTTCTGTAAACTACTGATGATCTGTGTAGTGTTAAAGAGAATTCTTATGCTGAAAATGCTCTCAGTGACCACACAAAGTCTACCAAAGATCAAGGCCAGGAGAAAACTGTACGAATAAGGAGGTTGGCGCTGACTGAGAGCAGAGCTCTTCGCGGCTGCTGCCTCTCCAGGCTGCTTCGTGCAGTGTAAGCGGGAAGGTATTCGCTTAAAGCTAAACTATTCTCCACGGTTGTTATCTCGGAACCTCCCTACGGTGACATCTGCCAGTCCGATCCTCAAAGGGATGTGCTTTCTTCCTCCCTCAGTTCGGGCACAGCACACTAAGGGATGAAGACTGCTTGGTCACAGCACACGGCCCCGCCCAGCTGGAGGTGGTCATGCGGCTACGTGTACTTGTGGAAGTGTGCAAAGCTTCCTGTTAGCATCTGTTTTAACAGTCAAACCTGTAACTACTATTGCTATTGACATGATTTAAAGCATTATACCTACACAGCAAGTACGTTTAAAAAAAAAAACCCACTCTAGTAAAACCTTTTAATTTTTCATTAATACAAGGTATGACAGCAACACAGTGAATGTTTAAATCTAAAGCAACTATTATGGTAACGGATACATTGCCACTCGCTCCCCCTCAGCATACGCCCTTGCTTTGGGCACACTCATGCCATCATGCTTGTCATTTTCTGAAGCAGCTCTACAAGTTCTTTCTCCTCTTTGTCCTTTAAAATATCTTTATTCTTCAGCATTCTTTATGTCTGCGATACACATTACAGGAATTCATCATGGGAAACTGGTCCATCTACACATTGCATCGCCACACTTTTTATTTCCTCTCCTTTAGGTTGCTGAAGATAAGCTATTTTCTCTCTCTCTTTTTTTTTTTTTTTTTTTGAGACAGGGTCTCACTGTGTAGCCCAGGCTGGTCTCAAACTCACAGTGATCCTCCTGCCTCAGCCTCCTGAGTGCTGGGATTACAGGCGTTCGCCACCATGCCCAGCTAAGATAAGCTATTTTCTCTCTCTCTTTTTTTTTTTTTTTGAGACAGGGTCTCACTGTGTAGCCCAGGCTGGTCTCAAACTCACAGTGATCCTCCTGCCTCAGCCTCCTGAGTGCTGGGATTACAGGCGTTCGCCACCATGCCCAGCTAAGATAAGCTATTTTCAAGGAGCTATGATTGAGATATGGAGAAGAAGGCAGCAGAGGTTTACAAATGCTTGAGAATTTTTTAACAGTATTTTGAACAAAGCTATCATCTTAGCAAACACTGTTTGAACCTATATGTAATCCTAATTACCATCCTTTGAACTACATTATTTACACATGTAATGAATGCACTGTTTTCCTTGACTATCTATTGCAATGGTTAGAGAACCACTGTCAAGAAGTGAATTAAGTTTTGCTGGCAACGGTTAGACTAATTTCTTCAGCTCCCCAACATCTGCCAACAATTTTTGAAAAATATTATGAAATCTTGGTACTGTTAATTATTACCATACTTGATTGCTCTTTCCCACTAGCATATTTCTGTGAATAATCTAGACCTGGGGATAAGACATACACTGAAATTATAGGTTGCAGCTGATTCCTTCAATAGGAACGTGACATGTTGCATTGGGATGGCCATCACCTTCACCAGCCTCCTACGTTTCCCCTCTCTGTGCCGAGGCAGACCTTTGCGGCTGTGTTAATGATAGAAGCTGGAAGAACTGACATTTTGAGAATTACGAGATGAGGGTACGTGGACACCACAGCTCTGTCTTGTTCTGCAAGGACACTTGCTCTTAGAACCCAGGCACTGTGCTGTGAGGAAACCAACCAGGAGACGCCACGCAAAGGAGCCCCAGCTGACGGCACACTGACCACAGACAGGTAGGTGACTGGGCTCCGGGGCTTTCAACTGACCCCAGAGTCACGTCCAGCCTGTGAGGGTTCGGCGGCTGCTACTTGGACCAGAGATGAGCCCTTTGTTAAGTCTTCAGAAAGTCTTAGGAGAGGACTTCATAGAACCTTTAAATGGCACGTGTCCCTCGAAGGGTCTGAAGGAAGACTCCCTGCTAAACACAGGGCACACGGACGTCTGAAGGACAGTGTCCCAGGAGCCTCACGGAGATGCCCAGGCATGGAAGGCCTGTCTTGAGGCGATTTGTAAATGTGGTTTTTGTCTAATAGTGTAGACTGAGAATCAATCTGAAAAATCTCACAGTTTTAAAAATTACATTGGTTGGACTGAAAGAAGGAACACAGAGCACAACATAAAGAGTCACGGAGGCCCCAAACTTCTACAGGTAGAAAGTAGTCTGGCAAAGCTGCTCGGCGGAGAAGACTGACCTCACTTCAGGAAAGGAAGGGACGTCAGGGGGTCAGCAGGGCTTGCCACAGCCACCTCTGCACCCCACTTGGCCACTGTGTGGACGGGCGTCATGTACCTTGTCCCTCTAGATCCCAGCAACTCCTGACGCCCAGGAGATCCCAGACCGCGTGCTAATGCCTCAGTGGTCACAGATGCGAGGCACTCAGAAGAGGGGTTTGAGTTTATTTTGTGCAAGGAGAGACGTAAATTCTTGTGGCCAGGAGACCAGCAGATGGCCCTGTCAGAGCCGCCAGAGCTCGCTGCCCCGTCCATGTGCTCGTAGTGGGACGCTGACCGCCTGTTGCTGGGGCGGGGGCAACACTGTTCTTCTGCACACACAGCTACTGCGACTGTGCTCCCAGAGGAGGCAGCTGAGGGCGATGCTCTGCGACCTCTGAGCACAGGCCATTCACCACACACCGCTGCCTGCTCTCGGGTGCTTGCTTCTGGAGCCCAGCTTCCGGGTGTGAGGGAACTGTGAAGACCCAAGATAAGGTCCCGCTGACGGCCGGCATCAACCACCAGCCAAGGGAGCAAGTCCTAGGACGACTCCGGCCTCTGCCCGTCAGGCCAGCCCAGGTAACACCGTAAAGGAGACTGAGGAGCGGTCCCCGCCGTGCTGTGCACAACCGCAGAAGCTCAGCTCGGCAAGGAGCCGTCAGTCTGCTAAAGCTGGTTAGTAAGTGGTGGCTTGTGACGCAGCAACAGAAAAGTAGGGAAAAAGGATGGAAGACAAATCGCAGCACGACACAACCATAGCAAGTGCTGTCGCCACAGGAAGGGGCACAGGGCTAATAAGTGCAGTGGTGCAGATGGTTGCGAAGATCCTACGCTTCGCCAAAGCAACTGGAAACAGGACACCTTTCCATTCCTTTCGGGCTGCAGAACAAACGCTCGGGTGCAACTTCCAGGAAGGCCACAGGCAGCACCTTGGCAGGCAGAGACGTCTGCCAGGACAGGGCGTGTGACGAGGCACATCCGCCTGTGAGCTGCACAGCCGACACCGCACACTTCAGTGAAGACTTAAAACACAGGGCGGGGAGGGAGCTCAGTGGTACAGCACTATGGCCAGCAAGCATCTCCAGCACAGCAAAAGGAAGAAAACTTATTAAAAATAAAAATCGGGTGGGACTGGGTTGTGTGTAAACATATAGATTATACAAGAACAGCACATATCAATTAACTTCTACCTCTGGATGAGCACTACACAGAAGTTCACTATTCTGTTTACTTTTTAATGTCCCATAAGAAAAAGTTAAAAATGAAACAGTACTGATTTTTGTCAAAAACGAGTTAAGTGTAAAGCAGTGAGATACTTACCTTATATGACTGTTAGGCTCTGAAAATAATACCGCAGTGATACGCTTTCAGGATGTTTTGAATAAGGCAGTGTTATTTAAATAGATAAATAACATACGAGGCATTGGGACTGTCAAAGTATTGCACTCATTGCAATGCGTAAATAAGTTTCTTAAATCGGTTCTCTTATAATGCTTTTTTTTTTTTTTTTTTTTTTTTTTT